CACTCAGAAACACACAAAACACTCAGAAACACACAAAACACTCAGAAGATTTGATTTATTATCAAACTAAGTCTCAATCTTTTTAATTTAGCTCCTTTATCACAATCTATACAATTGTTATTGTTTTTTCAAAGTAAAGTTGAGAGATGTTGACAAACATAATGATACTAATTATTATTGACTAAATTATATTTCTATATCAACATATTTCAGTATCTTACTAAAACAAAATTATGTTTTGAATATTGTTGAAATAATGAGAACAATACGAATACAAATATTTCAGGAAGTTAAAATTGAAAGTTTGACTATAATTTAGTAGATTTGGTGAAGTCATGATGATTTTGACTTTCTGTACATTTTTTTATTTATATTAAATTATAACTTAAACATTTCTGCATGTGGATATGTAATACATTTATCCCTTTTGAACCTGAAGACATGAAGTTCTTTATATTTTATGATCTTTTATTTCTCGGCAGCTTTGAGCTTCCGTACATTTCTGTTGTTTTCTTCTAAAAAGTTGTTTTTGGTGAAATTGAAGTCGTTGCACATTTTAAAAAGCTGTGAATGTTTCAGACACATTTCCCCATAAATGAGATTTGGAAACATTTGGATTTCAATAAAAGAAGTTGTGTCCGTTTGTTTAAAGACTTTAAAACGGGCAGAAGTACTTTTGAAAGATTCTTGCAGAATAAAACATAAAGAATCTTCCTGTCGGACTCAAACATAAAGATCGTGTTCATAAAGAACCTCTGAAGTGTTGAGATGAGTTTCTGTTCAGTTTATAAAATAACATTAAAAACCCGTAGAGTTAAACAATAAACGTATTAAACATATTAAATGTATTAAACGTATTAAATGTATTAAATGTATTTACCAGAGTCGACCATCAAATGAGTTCCTCTCCCAAAAATCATTTTCTCTGCAGTTCCTCTCACACTGTGACGGACTGCTGACTGAAAACCTCCAGTCAATACTCAATACCCTATAATCAATACTCTATACTCTATAATCAATACTCTATACTCTATAATCAATACTCTATAATCAATACTCTATAATCAATACTCTATAACCAATACTCTATACTCTATAACCAATACTCTATACTCTATACTCTATAATCAATACTCAATACTCTATACTCTATAATCAATATTCTATACTCTATAATCAATACTCTATACTCAATACTCTATACTCTATAATCAATACTCTATACTCAATACTCTATACCCTATAATCAATACTCTATACTCTATAATCAATACTCTATACTCTATAATCAATACTCTATAATCAATACTCTATAATCAATAATCAATACTCTATAATCAATAATCAATACTCTATAATCAATACTCTATACTCTATAATCAATACTCTATACTCTATAACCAATACTCTATACTCTATACTCTATAATCAATACTCTATACTCTATAATCAATAATCAATACTCTATAATCAATACTCTATACTCTATAACCAATACTCTATACTCTATAACCAATACTCTATACTCTATACTCTATAATCAATACTCTATACTCCATAATCAATACTCTACTCTATAATCAATACTCTATAATCAATACTCTATACTCTATAATCAATACTCTATACTCTATAATCAATACTCTATACTCTATAATCAATACTCTATACTCTATAATCAATACTCAATACTCAATAATCAATAAGTAACGACTTACACAAACCACCACTTTAAAACTGTTAGTGGGATTTGTTCGCTTTTTGCTAAAACTCTGAAAAGTTAATTTTGTTTTGTCTTGACTCGAACCGTAATAATAAATAATCTGAATGTCATAAACCTCACACAGAGAACACTAATAGAACAGTTAATGTATTAACGGTTAATGATGATCTTACTGTTATAGATATTAAATATGATATTCAGTACGGAAGATGATTTCTACCAAAAATAAACTAATTCCGTCAAAGTTACGGTTAAAAATGATTCCGTCATTTTTTAACTTAAGTGAAACACACTTTATCATTCATTCATTTTTGAATAACGTGGTTTGTTGTATTATTTCATATAACGTTGAGCAGCTGATCTTATTCTGACGCATGTTGTCGGTTTTTTACACAATTTAAATCCCGTAACTTCATTTTAACTTTTGTGTTCATAATTATTAGAGTTAAACAATTTAAAAGATGCAATCGATTTAAACAAAAAGATGAAAAATGTTTCCTCCCCGAGTCTTCACACTGACGCTCACTGGGACAAGAACTGATGACTAATCATTATCTGTGTAACGGGTATTTTACTACTTGTTTTGTCTCAACTTATGTATTTTTTCACCTAAATGTACTTTAATATTTGCTCTCTGTCATAGACAGTAAGATTATCATTCTTCAGTCTTCTATAGCAGCTCATACATCAATAGTTTGACTCTATAATTCAGATTTCTGTATATTTTATTATTATATATTAAATTATAACTTAAACATTTCTGCATGTGGATATGTAATACATGTATCCCTTTTGAACCTGAAGACATGAAGTTCTTTATATTTGATGATCTTTTCTTTCTCTGCAGCTTTGAACTTCTGTATATTCCCGTAGTTTATAAAGTTGTTTTTGTGAAGTCGTTGCAGATTTAAAGAATGAAAGTTGTGAATGTTTCAGACACATTTCCTCGTAGAAGAGATAAAGGAAGTCGTGTCACTTTAGTTTCCCTCAGGCTTCCTTTAAGTGAACAGGAACTCACCAGCAGCTCGTCCTCCGAGTCGCGTTCAGGCTCCACATCTCAGGACGTCATGGTGCTCTCCAAACAAACATCTTCACCGTTACCCAGAATCCAGTTCAGGTAGAAAACCAGTTTCACACGTCACTGCTGGAAACAACGTGCTCACTGCATCATTCAACAGCATCTGAAACTCACAGTCCAACATCTTCATCTTCATCATCATCTTCATCATCATCTTCATCTTCACCATCTTCATCTTTATCATCTTCATCGTCTTCATCTTCATCATCGTCTTCATCTTCATATTCATCTTCATCATCTTCGTAGAGCTCAGGCATGGCCGACCGGATGACGGTGTTCTGGTGGAATGTTTGCGGTCCCGATAGATCCCAGATGAGTGAAGACTGAAGAGCAAAGTGAGAGAAGTTCAAAGCCGTCAGATTTAATGTTGAGCAGAAGAACAGAAATAATAATAATAACAATAATAATAACTTTATTTATAGCACCTTTAAAAACAGAGTTTACAAAGAGCTTTGACAGACAAAACAGCAAAAACAAGACAATAAAAACAAGAGAAAGTTCAGCGAGATGATCGATAAAAATAAACTAAGAAATAAAAAATAAAATAAATCAAATAATTGAGTAAAATCAACAAATAGGAATAAAACAATGAAGCGACGTCATCACATAAAAGCCAGTCTATAAAAATGTGTTTTAAAGAGACTACCCTCCTCCTGCTGATCAGACTCATGACTCCTCTTCAGTTCCTCCTCTGAGCAGAGACTCCTCCTGCTGATCAGACTCATGACTCCTCTTCAGTTCCTCCTCTGAGCAGAGACTCCTCCTGCTGATCAGACTCATGACTCCTCTTCAGCTTCTCCTCCTCTGAGCAGAGACTCCTCCTGCTGATCAGACTCATGACTCCTCTTCAGTTCCTCCTCTGAGCAGAGACTCCTCCAGGTGAACAAGTCAAGCTTCTGAAACAGGAAGTAAGGAGCAGCTGATGTGACCTGTTTCTGAAAGTAACACAGCAGCTTCGTCTCGCACTGGTTTATATTTAAACTCTTCATTCATTCATTATTGTCAACAAATCTCATGTTAAGGCTCAAACCAACGTGTTGGTCCGTCTCCTAATGGGGTCTGACTTCCAGTCTCTGAGCCCATTGGTTCCTACTGAGGATGAAGATCTTTACAAACACAAACATGTAGTTTTCATCACTGTAGTTTTTAGGAGGAACAGAGACTGTTGGTGAGGACTATTTTCAGCGATGACTTGTGATGATGGATGA